GTAGAATGACACAGGGGAAAAGTATTGAACACATGAAGAAAGTGAGGTGCAAAAAGGCATGGAAAGCCAAGACACCAGCTGAAATCTATCAGTAATTAGAAAGCAATCCTGCCCCTTGTCAGTGGAAATTAATATTAGCTAGTTCAGTCCCAGCACCTATAGTACCAGGATGATGAAGATGAAACAAGGGTGGATATTCCAGCGAGACAATGATCCCAAACACACAGCCAAGGAAACTCTCATTTGGTTTCAGAGAAAGAAAGTAAAGCTGAATGGCCCAGCCAATCACCTGACTTGAAACCAATAGAACATCTATGGAAAGAACTAAAGATTAGAGTTCATAGAAGAGGCCCACAGAACCTTCAAGATTTGAAGACTGTTTGTGTGGAAGAATGGGCCAAAATCATACCTGAGCAATGCATACGACTAGTTTCTCCATATGAGGCGTATTGATCCTGTTATTACCAACAAAGGCTTTTGTACGAAGTATTAAATATGTTTAAGTAGTTCAATACTTTTTCCCTGTGCCATTCCATTTTATTACACATAACTTCATTTCTGAAATTATTTCTATTGTTTTTTGTACGTATGGATTACCTGGGTTGTTACCGGCATCTGGTGAAAATTTAATGTCAACAGCAGCTTTAAAAATATATTTACTGGGAAAATTGGTGACATGTTCAATACTTATTTTACCCGCTGTATACCAGAACACACACTCTTTCTTTCTCTCTCTCTCTCTCATTTTGGTATCTGTAAGAATATTCTTTTTTTAAAGAAGTATTTTATGATAAAAAAATACAGTAAAACAGTAATGCTGTGAAATATTTTTATAATTTTAATATCTAAAAACAATCTATTTATTCCTGCATTGGCAATGTTTGAATTTTCAGCTTTTTACTCCATCTTCAGTGTCACATGAGCCTTCATTATTAAATTATTCTAACATGCTGCTTTCTTATTATTATCAACATTCAACAATATTCTGTGCAAACCATAAGTATTTTTCCAAAATCACAGCTAAAAACAGCATTTTAAGTATAATTTTTAAATATATATATATTTTTGTAAATAAATTCAATACGTCCTTGCTGAATAAAAGTATTAGTTTATTTTCAAAAATCTTACTGACCTTTTACTTTTGAGTGTGTAAGGTGTGTTTTTAAATTAAATATAAATATACATTTTTACATTATTTTATATAAGTAGCAATTTAGACAGCTAATTACATGTGTGTGTGTGTGGAATGAACACATTTCAAGGACATGATGCCTACATCTACAGCAAAAAGATGACTAGCCTACAACAAAAGCGTGCAGCCCAGCTTTGATCTCATGTTTCTACCTCGATATTTTCTAAAGACAACATAAAGGTTCCAGTTAGAACCAAACAAAGGGTTTTATGCCTCAGGTGAGCATTTCTGCAGCTCATTTCTAGTACTTCTTTCAAGAACACAGAAGTCAATACACTGAACCTACAATGAAGTTGATACATCTCCAATTCGTCCTACAGAATAACCAAACTCAAAAACCCTACGCAGCCAAAACATTCTTAGCAAGAGCGTCTTTGGCTGAACCGTTGAGCTTTATATTTAAGTATGTATACGTCAGTGACCTCCTGATGCAGTTTGTCATCCATGTGCCTCTGAAATCCTCAAGGATGAAGCTCATACTACAGGCGTGATTGATTGCCGTTGTCACTCCTCCAGAGCTCCACACCCCGACGGTTGTGTTTCATGCAGCAAGAAATCGCATCGGTGGCAGCAATGGCAAATTTCTGAAATCAAACTACAACGGCAGCCGCTATAACATCTTGTCCTTCACCTGTTTTGGATTTTCACGGCTCACCGCCCAACAAATACACGGACTTCAGAGCATAAGAGGTAAAATCACCGCACAATCTGGCTGTGTTTATCACGACACATCTGGCAAGTGCGCGAGCGCACGTGAGAACTGAAATGTTGCATCAGTTGACATGTATCGTGTGATCAATGCATGCATTACAAGGGTGCCATACTGAAACCAATTATAATGCATATCACTCTTAGACATTTTCAAAACATTAAATTCGAATATATCTGTTTGCTATCGTGTGATATATAAATTGCAGCTATAAACATTTAATTCGGAATGTTTTCGTGCATTTGTAAACCATTATTAAGATCTCACTGCAAAGACTGTGCTCTGCTTATGTGTTTGAATAACCTATGAATATCTTCCTGAAAAACATGCTGCTAAAGACTGAATTGTTGCTTTCTTTTTATATGAGTGTCTTCATTTTTAGTCTTTCTATTTAAGATTAGTTTAGATTGATGTTCACACTTAGGTTATGGGTTCTGTAGTAGCCTATAAGCTGCAAAGATGAATTTTTGGTGGGTGTCTAAAAATAGCACCCAATATAAACATTAACGCCACTCTTGGTTTATTTTTAATTCACATATAAGCATCTGCGCCTAAATTAAATGTGTTATAACAATGCTAGACATATAGCATGTAACGTTATATTTTATGACAAGATTGAATAAGAATTGAAATGGCAATAGTGTGCAATGAAAGTAAACTACAATTGCAGGGCCATCAGGCATATTTGCAACTAAACAGGTTAAACAAAATAATAATAATCGGCTAATAATAATATACAGTAGTCTTATACATGATTTTATTGCTGATATTATTATTATTTATTATTTTATTTATCCTTGTGTTAAAAAAATCTGTTTTCCATATTGGCAATTGGACACTTAAACGTACAAATAATTGTTATCGGTTTTGTTCAAAAAGCTATATTGGTCAATCTCTTGTTTTTAATTACACTTAAGCCAATGGCTATCTAAAAACTGGCTTGGGCGCTAGATGGATGCTGAATGGGTTGATTAATACATCAAACTCTTAGAGACAGCCATGACCAAGACTTAGTGAGACTGATTTGTGGATGTTGTTTTAGTTGCTAAACTTATTGTACACTTATTGCCATACTCACTGACTGTACAGAATTTACATGAATATATATACACTGCATTGTGTTCTACGCTACAAAATAAATATTTAATTGTTCATAACATATTTCATTGTATATTTATTCTTATTTTGTTGTTATTCCATTATTATATGTTTCACACATTTTATATCCTATACACTCTAAAAAATGCTGGGTTGTTTCAACCCAATGTTGGGTCAAATATGGACTAACCCAACTGTTGGGTTAAAAAGCTTATTTAAAAATGTAACCAAAATTTAACCCAACAGTTGGGTTAGTCCATATTTGACCCAACATTGGGTTGAAACAACCCAGCATTTTTTAGAGTGTATTTCATTGTACATAACAGCATTCTTCAAATTTCATAGGATATTTTAATTTATTACTTGATTCCGATTGCTTCTGTTTGTCATATCTCCTTTTGTCATCACCTGTACCCCAGTGTCTGATCCACACCGTGTGCCCAAAAATCTTAAATAATGTATGCTGATAATTACCTATGAATCCCCAATGGATTGTATTTTATTGTAGACTTCATATACTGGGAATTACATGTGAGTTTTTAAATAGATTGACAGCCATATTTCTAAAGCTCAATGAGAAAAAATTCAATATATGCACCATAATGTCCACTGTCCCTCTCAATTTGGTAAACGAAACATAGAGAAGGAACAATATTTCATTAACCACGAAAATCTGATTGGCCAACCCATGATCGCTACTTGAAATATGGCTAGAAATATGCCCTCAAATTAGTATGTGCAACTGTCCTGCTGTGTGTTTTGCAGGTATTCTGGTCTTTTCTAGGATAATGGAGGTGTCAGAGGATGACATGCAGAGATGTGTGATGAATTCATTGAAGTTGCATTCCCCTTTATATCTGCACTATCCTTAGCAAAGAACAGCCCAGTGTAACCATGGCAACAGCAGCATCCTCTGAGTGAGCATCATTCCCTCTTTCATCTGTAAACATGATGATTGTGGTTTGTATATGCTCACCATATTGCTCATATTGTGCTCTGCACAGATTGCTCTACAGATGTTTAAGCAAAAAATGTAATTATTACAAGAATGTTTTCACCATATGTCTTTACTGTTTATGCGATTCTCATGTGCTGTCATAAAAATGTCACTCACTAAAATCCTATCACAGACTGCGCCTCTGTGCTCTTAAAGGGATAGTTCACCCAAAAAAGAAAAATCTGTCATTATTTACTCACCTTCATGTCATTTTACATTTACATTACATTTAGCAGATGCTTTTATTTAAAGCGGCTTACAAATGAGGACAATGGAAGCAATCAAATCAACAAAAGAGCAATGATATGCAAGTGCTATAACAAGTCTTATCTTATAATTTTAAACCTCTATAATTTTCATTCTTCAGCAGAACACAATAGATGTTTAGAAAAACCTTTCAAATCAAAGCAAGTCACACCTCAAGTCAAGTCAAATTTATTTGTGATGCACTTTTCTCATTTGTTTATATTGATGTTTATAATTTCTTCATATCATCATGCCTTATAGTTGCATTAAGCAGATGGGCAATAATATAGTGGACATTTTGTGATGACAGAAGCAGTCAAGCCACTGAAATTTGCCATATAGTATATATTGCTACATACTGTATATACTTATATCCAACGATTTATAATGAGCTGGATGATAATATAGTTGCACTTTGCATCTGCATTTATTTGATCAGAAATACAGTAAAAACAGTAATATTGTAAAATATTATTACAATTTAAAATAATTGCTTCCTATTTAATTATGTTTTAAAATGTCATTATTTAAAGTGTAATTTATTTTATTTATTTCTGTGATGGCAAAGCTGAATTTTCAACATTTGTAACAATTTAAATGTCTTTACTGTCACTTGATCAATTGAATCCATCCTTGCTGAATAATAGTATTAAAAAAAATGGTACTGACCCCAAACTTTTGACAGCAGCCTAAATGAATATATTCATTGTTATTAATATACCTCACACTTATCTTCTTCTGTTGCAGGTAATGTTTTACAGAAGAGTCTTTCACTTAATGGGAGCTCACAGGACCATGGCAAAGATTTAGCTATGACTTTCCAGCCTTGGATGGATAATACCTGGTAACAGCTGCCATGTTTACATGTAATGGCAGCTCATTGGAGGGTTGTGGCCTTCTTGAACCAATAGAAACTGAGATGCAAGAATCTGATACTGCCCTTATGCCCACCACTCTCAGGGTGGCACTGGCTGCCATCATGATCTTCATGATCACCATTGGTTTTCTTGGCAATGCCATTGTGTGTCTGATAGTGTATCAGAAACCAGCCATGCGTTCAGCGATTAATCTGCTCCTGGCCACACTGGCTTTTTCAGACATCATGCTGTCGCTGCTATGCATGCCATTCACTGCCGTCACTCTCGCAACTACGGACTGGAGCTTCGGAGTAGGATTCTGCCGCATATCCGTCATGCTTTACTGGCTGTTTGTTCTAGAAGGTGTGTCTATACTTCTGATCATCAGCGTGGATCGGTTCCTCATTATAGTTCAGCGGCAGGACAAGCTGACACCCCATCGGGCGAAAATTCTTATTGCCGCGTCATGGGCTCTGTCTCTTTGTGTGTCCCTACCATCTGTGGTCGGCTGGAGGACGGCAGCGATTGGAGCACAAGTACCGCAGTGCATTCTGGGATACAGTGAATCGCTGGCGGAACGGGGTTATGCGGTTCTGCTTGCTGTCGCTGTGTTTTTTGTTCCATTCGGTGTGATGTTGTATTCCTATCTGTGTATTCTCAACACGGTTCGACGCAATGCGCTGCGCATCCATAATCACACCAGCGAAGGCAGCGTCGCTATTAACCATGTCAGCAAGTTGGGTTTAACCGGTCTGCAGCGACCCCAAGTCAACGTGGACATGAGTTTTAAAACCAGGGCCTTCACCACCATCCTCATCCTGTTCATTGGCTTCTCCGTGTGTTGGCTGCCACATACGGTGGTGAGTCTGCTGGCGGTGTTCAGTAGACGCTTCTACCTCAGCCCGGCCTTTTACCCCATCAGCATCGGGGCACTGTGGTTGAGTTACCTCAAGGCAGTCTTCAACCCGGTGATATACTGTTGGAGAATCCGCAAGTTTCGTGAAGCCTGCCTGGAGTTCATGCCCAAGACCTGTCATCTCTGTCCCAAGATTCCCGGGCGAAGTCGCAGGCGTATAAGACCCAGCAACATCTATGTGTGCAGCAGTGAGACCCAGTCTTCTGTCTAGGATTTGCACCAAAGTATAATGAAGATAATGTTAAGATATGAAACATTTAAAGTCATGTTTTCAAAGAACACTTATGAATTGAAAACTTGACAAATAACTCCTCCGACCATAATCTGCAGTGATGAAGGAAACACCATCTGCTGTCTGAAATTCACCAGAGCAATATTCATATATGTTCCTGAACGCGGTAATTTCTTTATTTTTCTGTTGGAAAGATTTTACATGTTCTGCAGTTTTGTAAGACATGAAAAAAATGTAAATAAAGTAACTAAACTGGTGATTTACTAGACATTTTTGATAGAATTTGTTCATGGTTAAGCAAGTTTTTTTATTATTATTGTATTCTTATTTTATGCATTTGACTGACATTTTTAACCAAAGTAACTTACAGTGCATTCAAGCTGTATATTTTATCTGTCTGTGCAACCCACTGGGTAACAAACCCTTGACCTTTTTCATATCAATTTCAAATATATGGTATACATTCAAGCTGTGCTTGTCAGTAATGTTAACCATCTTGAGTTTGCCTTGAACACCAGTCCCAAAGTGATACTGCACGACTGGTAGGTTTTAACTGAATGCTGTTTGTCCACAATTTGTTTTCCGTTCAAATAAAAAAAAATAGTAATAATAATAAATGTCGAACCTAAATTATTGTTCTTGTTTCTTAATTTTTACAATATAATTATGATTTCTGCTTGCTGTTTTCAGTCATTTTACCACTTTGACTGAAGAATTTTGCTTATGCACATTCATAAAACTATCATCATAGACACTTTCACCATTCCTGAAATATTTGGAATGCATCATCTTCATAAATGTGGTATTTTCTGTAAAGTCTATCTTAGTTTTTTATTTTATTTCTTTTTTTAATCAGTAACTCTGGGACTATAGGCCTATATAAATACTGTCAATATAGAAATCTGTCAGTAGGCCTACTGAAGAACAACAAAGGGACGGATATGTGTTTTCCAAAGGCTGATACCAGTGTCAAAAAAGCAGATTGGAGGATGGCAGATGTAATGCCTATAGATGTAATAACATATCCTGGTAGCAAATAAGTAGCCTACACAAAACGGATGAAGTGAAATACACAATATTCACAACAAATGAATAAAATGTTTAGTTGATATGGTTATCAGCCAGTGCTAATAGCTGTAAACGGCCAAATATTTGCCCATTAATTGTCTGTTCATCAGTAACATGGATTGAAGTTCTTTTGGGGCTGTACATCCATGTAAAAAAAGCGGGTGTAAATATGAAATAACTGTCATAAGTTACTGTAGGTGGCAGTACTGGGCATACGCTGTTAAACGCCTGTCACTTAAGCGCAGAACAAAAGCGCTTGTTCCTGCGCTCTCCGGAAATCGACGAGAAACATGGCGTCGCGCAGGACAGACAGAGCGACAAACGCCACATCAAATGCTGGAGATGTTTCCAAAATCGACCTTCTGCTTCACCCAGAGCTTCTTTCTCAGGAGTTCATTCAGCTTATGTTACGCGAGGTAAGATTGAGAGCCACATGAAATCTGTCAGGTTACTGTAGGCTTCATCGCATAAACGTGCTTGTTTCTTATATGAACATAATAATAATATTTCAGTTGTTTCTGGTGAGCTCAGGCTTTTCTGTAAAGTATATTTTAATAAGATCTAACGTTAGTAAAAATGCCTGATGTCCTAGGAATGAGTCAGAACAGTAGCAAACGAGTGACTCGTGCCTGTGTTGTGTTGTAGAGGAAGATAGCGGTGGGTGATGAAGAGGACCGCGAGCGGCTCACAGATCTGTACCTGCGGCATGTCATTCCTCTCCCGCAGAGGGATCTGCCCGGCGGCCGCTGGGGGAGGCGGATGGAGCGACGCAGAGCGCACAGGTAACTTACTGCACACTCTCTCACACACATGAAATGATGCTGTAGTGCTTGAAGGAAGAGTTCACCCACAAAAGAAAATTCTATCACTTATTACATCTAATATAATATGTAATATAATCTACTCCGTGTGTGTTTTTAAGAAATAAATACTTTTATTTAGAACAGATGTATTAAATTGATCAAAAGTGACAGTAATTAGTGTTATAAAAACATTCTATTTACAACAAATGCTGTTCTTTTGAACTTTATATTCATTAAAGAATCCTGAAAAATTGCATCATGTTTCCACAAAAATGTTAAAGAACACAACTGTTTTTAAAGGGGTCATATGATGCTTTTTTAAAGATCATTATTTTGTGTATTTGGTGTAACAGAATATGTTGACATGCTTTAATGTTCAAAAAACACATTATTTTTCAAATACTGTACATTATTGTAGGTCCTCTATGCCCCGCCTCTCTCAAACGCTTAGTTTTCTACAAAGTCCCTCCTTCCGACAAGCGCAGTCTGCTCTGATTGGCCAGCTGACCCAGTGCATTGTGATTGGCCGAACACCGCAAGCACTCATCAGAAATGTAACGCCCCTTACCATAATCGCGAGCTTCAGCTTTCAAAATAAATGTAAAGACAGAGCCCGAAAGGGGAACAGAGTCGTGTGACAGACACAGTGATGAAGCTGGTATGTGTTTGCAGTACACAAGCCACGGTTAAGACAGCTGACTCCACTGTGATGTGACCCGCTCGCTCTCTCTCTCGTTCTCTCTCTCTCTGGCTCTCTCTCTCTCTCTCTCACACACACACACACACGATGCGCAAAACTCTGCATTTGAGCAGTCAATAGCAAATACTTAAACTAATAACAAAACTGTAGCTGATTCAGAAGTGCCAGATTGTCATAGCAAAGTCAGAATGACCTCCTCTCCTAGGTTCACGAAACGGTCGTCCATAAAATGCATTGCTGTTCTGTTGTAAGTAATCTTAAAGATTCCTAAATGCATCTACTTTCGGAAGGCCAAATAAAGTGTTTTTGCTTTCGTGACATGTTGCTTCAACACTAACTGCGGTTACTGAAACCACGCCTTCTTTCTTTGCGTGCACATTTGGGCAGCATTATGCAAATATTTCCACATAGTGAGGTAGATATGTGGGGGCGTGTTAGAACGAGCTGTTTTAGGGGGGCGTGGCAGAGTCTTAACTTTGATAAAGAATATCTCTTTAGTTTTGAGACTTTAGTCTTTGCAACTTCAGAGATCTTATCTATGCACAATCAGCTTGTAACACTCCAAAGAGAAAG